GTGCTGGTAAGAGGTTAAGTTTGAAAATGTCAAGACAAAAGTAGGGGCTTAACCTAAAGGCAAATGTCAAAAAAAGGGGCTTTTGTTTTCCCATTCACTGAGGGTTTTGCTCTTCTGCTTTACAACTCACTGACTAAATTCATGAAATAACTTACTTTTTTTCTTTTATTTAAAGAGGGGATAAAATGTCATTTAGAAAAATTCCCTGAGCTGAAGCTATACCTCCGTGGTAAAGTGCTTGCTTCACATGTGTGAGGCACTGGGTTTAATTCTCTGTACCACATAAAAATACAAAAAGATACTGTGTGTTCATCTACAACTAAATAAATATTTTTAGAAAATCACTCACAATTACTATAATCCATTAATACAAATGTCATTGTTATTATACACCAAAGGAGGCTGATTTAATCTGAAAATCTTCCTAAAGGTCTAGAATACGAAGGGCACAGATGGAAAGTGTGCCTGCACCAAGACACTACTATAGCTGGATATTCCAGGTTCAGTGTGGGCACCACTCCACCTTGTGCCTTCCAACCCAAACAAGGAAGGTGTGAATCTGCAGGGCTCCTGAGTCGGGCTGGTGGCCCATGGCAGTGGATCTGAAATAGAAATGGGTTTCAGAGACTAAAAAGCTGTGGTAATGCCCCTGGGAGACATATGTGGTGTCCAACAGGCTCATCTTCCCTTCTGTACTTTTGCATGCACTGATCTTATGGGACTAGGACCTCATCTGCAGTAGCTTGGGGATGCCAAGACCTGATAAGTGCTTATACAGAAGCCTCCAATCCTATCCACAAAAGAAGTAATTTCTGTGACTTTAAGGATCCTTCTGAGCAACCCTCAGGTAAGTGGATTGGTTCTTGCTTGCTCAAGACTTTCCCAAGGTGGGGGAATTTCCCCCCACATTGTGGTCCCTTTCCAGGTAGAACTCAAGGACTACAGAATTCTGAACCTGCTCCCACAGGAGAGAAAAGAATTAGTTTTCTTCATGTTCATTTTTTGTATTGTTTAAAAATGTATCTATTGACATATTTACAACAAACATTGAAGGGGTTCATGTTATATCTTCATTCATACCAAGGGCATTGGTCACTTCCACCAACTTGTCTTCCATGTTCTCCTCAATTCTTCCTAGACCCTAATAATCCTTACTCTACATTCAAGTAAAACTTTGTTTATAAAATTCTACATTTGAGGGAGAACATGCCATACATGTAGCTCTTTTCATAACAACTGGCTGAAGTAAGCTCTCTGAATATGCTTGATTGAATAATAAAGCAGAGTTGATGACATTGAAAGGATCATTAAACAGAGGGGCCGGTGTTTCTATAAGATGTAAATATATGTGTGCTTCTGATAATTTTTTAATAACCAATTTCTGGTAACCTTGCAACAGTGGGCCATACCTGTAATCACACCTATTAAGGAGCCTGAGGTGGGAGGACTTCAAGTTTTAGAAAGCCTGGGACATTTAGGAAGGCTCTGTGGCTGAAAGAAAATACCAATAAAGGGGCTCTGGAAGTAAAATATGAAAAATTCTTTTACATTAGGGAGATGTTTTAAAGAGCCACAGTTTTGTTCTTCATTGGGGTTATGCTTGTAGGATAGTAAGCAGTATGATCATGTAAGAATGATCAAACCTTTACAAAGGTTATTTGTTGTACTATGTTTCAGGAACTGTTGTTACTTCGCTCATATTTCCTTTTTTCTTCTTCAGTACTGGGAATTGAAGCCAGGTTCCTAGAACAAAGCTACATTTCCAGGCTTTTTATAATTTTGAGAGAGACTCTCCTTTAGTTGCTCACCTGACTTCAGACTTTCATTCCTTCTGCCTCAGCCTCCTAG